GCCCCTTTCTCCTCCTCATCCACCTTGCTCCCCCACCAACCCCCCCCCCCCCCCCCCCACCTGCTGGTTAGGATGCTCACAGATTGTTGCACCAGGACAAAATGTTTTCTGCTCAGCCCTGCCGGGTACAGCAGGGAAAGGCATACCGTACACCCCCATGAACATATCCTCCCTCTTCTCCCTGCCAGGGACATAGCCAGGGAACAGCTCAAGTACTTGTTCCTTACAAAGAAGACACGTTCTTCACCCTGTGTGTTGCCTGCATTTAGTGCCCAGCCCTCCAGCTGGTATTTTAGGCTGTTGTTCCAAACCTCGACCTTGGTAGCTGGGAGGCTTGAATGAGGGTGGTGATGAAAATAGATACTTTCTCTTGCCTCTGAGAGAGAAGGGGGCGAAGACAAGCTCTTTGAAAAGGCGTAGAAAGTGCATGCAGTACAGGCCTTGAGGACTGAATAAAGCCAAGACCTTGGGCAGTGATGGGTACCATTGTAGGTGCTTAGTAAGCATTGAATGAACTAATGCCTGCGTGATGCCAGCTGGCGGTGGTGACAGCAGCAGTTGCACAAAGCACTGCTTACAATCTGGCCTTGAGCCTTCTGTTCAGAGAGGCCGGGGAGCCCAGCTGAGTCACTTGGAAGGACCCATGTTTGCAGCCAGTCTTACTGCCAGAGAGCCTTGGAGGAGGCGGGCAAAAAGCCCAAAACTGGCTTTGGTGTGCAGTAGTCGCCTGCCCTGGCCTATTGGTTCTCTCTGTGCACAAATGCTGCCCCTTTTAATCCATCCTCCAGGAAGAATATAATCTGAACTCCCTAAGCTGGCATTTGGGGACCATTGCAACCTGCCCCTTGGCTACTTTAACAGCTATAGTTTTTGTTACTCTGGTTATAAACAACCTGGGCTTCGAGCATGGCTGAAGCCTTCTCACTCCCTCCTGTAGGATTTTTCCATTTCTTGGCTGGGATGCTCTCCCCTTATTCAACGTACTGAAATCCAGATAATTCTTAAGTTTCAGGCATACAGAAAATATTTCACAATTAATACTTCTGGATCTTCTAAGTCTTAAAATTTAATGCCCTTGACAACACTCCCCAGCTGGCTTCAGCTCCCATAAGAAAAGCTCATGAGAGATTTATCTTCGCGGTTCGTCCCATGGTTGCCCAGCACTGGATTTGACATAAGTAATTTGTTCAATGAAAGTAAGATGACGTTTTTGGGATGCTTGCTGTGTGCAGGACACTAGCAGGCGTTGTGGCTCCAGAGCAAGCCCCTGTGTGAACAGGGAGACAGGAGAGACAGTGACAACACATGGCTGTGCTCCGCGCTGGGCTAGAGGGGCTTCGCTGAGATGAGAGCTGCGCTGGGACCGGGCGGAGAGCGGAGACAGGACCCGACCCCGCAGCCACGGTGGCCCCGGCCCCGCCACCGCCGCC